ATTTGCAAAAGCTGCCCGGGACCAGACTGAGTGGCGCTGGCCTTGCGCGCATGTGCAAGGCGGGAAAAGACCGCCTCGTGATTGGTTGAATTTGCCCGGGGATCAGAAGGTATAAATAGAGGCCTGCGTGCCTCTGCTCGGGTTGTTCGTAGAATGGAAGCAGAGAATAAAGACTTGTTAGAAATGCTTCGTCTCAAGCACCATTATTCTCCGGACTTAACACTGGCCATTTTATTTTTTCTTACAAAAATTATTATTATTATAATTTTATTATAATTTAATTTATATACCGCCCTTCTCCCGCAGGACTTTATTCATTTTGGGATTCACATGGACACAGGGAGTCATATGTGGTATGGCAACCAAACGTGCACTGTTTGCCAACCTCTGTCTTATATAATGGACATCAAAGCTTTCTAAGATGTTGTAATTGTTCATGTGCAAGAACATATGTTATAGGCATAAGAGAGAGGATCTTCTCGGTGGTGGCACAATCGATCTGCAACTATTTTTTTTTTGTTCTTTATATTTAATGTCAGCAAAGATAGCAGAATCTTACATTCATTTTCAGCTATGCAAGGCTCATTATGTGGCTAGGAATACATATGCAGAAATAAACTCTTTTCCTCCTTTATATTATTTTATTATATAAAATAGGGGCTGCCACAAAGAAGAGGGAGTCAAGCTATTTTCCAAAGCGCCTGAAGGCAGGACAAGAAGCAACGGATGGAAACTAATCAAGGAGAGAAGCAACCTAGAACTAAGGAGAAACTTCCTGGCAGTGAGAACAATTAACCAGTGGAACAACCTGCCTCCAGAAGCGGTGAATGCTCCAACACTGGAAGTTTTTAAGAAGAGACTGGACAGCCATTTGTCCGAAATGGTATAGGGTTTCCTGCCTGAGCAGGTCCCTTCCAACATTATTATTATTATTATTATTATTATTATTATTATTATTATTATTATTATTATTATTATTATTATTATTATTATTATTATTATTATTCATTAAACATGAACCTCAGTCAACTGAACATTCAAATTGGCTGGCGCTGATGGTTGACATGAGTTGCTACCAGCATCCTAGGTGTCAACCAGGTATCTCCTTAAAATATAAGATGTTCCGAGTAGCGCAGTTTTTTGTAACATTGGTATTATTACTATTATTATTATTATTATTATTATTATTATTATTATTATTATTATTATTATTATTATATACATACATATGCATATGCATATGCATATGCATATGCATATACATATACATATGCATATGCATATACATATACATATACATATACATATACATATACATATACATATACATATACATATACATATACATATACATATACATATACATATACATAATGTGAAGTAAAATAAGGTGATCACCAGGATAAAATCATAAACACAAATATTTAATCTACAAAACCAAGCTTTCGTCGTATATATATATGGACTGTAAGCCCGCAAGAGTCATCTTATGGTAAGATGGTAAGATGGAAAGAAAAAAAGAAAGAAAGAAAGAAAGAAAGAGAGAGGGAGAGAGAGAGAGAGAGAGAGAGAGAGAGACAGAGAGAGAGACAGAGACAGAGACAGAGACAGAGAAAGAGAGAGAGAGAGAGAGAGAGAGAGAGAGAGAGAGAAAGAAAGAAAGAAAATCGTTTTATCACTTTTAACATTGTAAGCCACCAGAATCGCTTTACAGCGAGATGAGCGGCAAACAAATTTAGTAAATCATCATCATCATCATCATCATCATCATCATCATCATCATCATCATCATCATCATCATCCCTGGTCCTTGGAAAGGACACAATAGGTATTAATGCCTTTAGGTGTTGGTCATGTAGACAGAATTTGTGAAAAACATATTTGCAAAATCTGGAGGAAGAGGCCAAATATGAAGGAGAAGGAAGGGATTGATGGTGAGGGTTAGTGTGATAGTTATTTACATACAATTTCTTACTTACCTCTTCCTTTCCCTAAAGCAGTCAAGAAAGCATCATCCGGTCGTTCAGAGAATTCATCTAGGAAGCTGGTCAGTCCTTCTTTCACAGTTTTGAATCCAGACAGCACTACGAAAATTTGAGGTCCAATCCACATGGTGTATATATTTCCATATCGTTTTACAGGCTGCCAAGTGAATCAAAGTTGAGAAATGTTACAATCAAATAAAACAGATTCTTTATATTGATTACACCCACCGACAGTTTTTCTTAAATCCTGAATTCTAAGACCTTTCACCATATGCAATTCTCTGCTCTTTAGAATTCTTTTCCTCTGAGATTCCTACCAAGAACATCTTTATCTACTTTTAAATTTTTTTGCTGGGATGTTCCTTTCTCTGTGTTTCTACTTGAAGTCCGCCTTCTCCCATCTGTTTGCTCCCTTCTCCCAAGCCTCAAATGACAGAGGGTCTTCTTACTGCCCACTCCTCCTGTGACTGACAGATATGTGAAAGTGGGGGGAATGGTTACACTAGTCTCAGAGAAAGGAATGTGAATCTAGAAGCAGATTCTAGATGATAATGAACATTATCAGCATGGTTCTGAAAAACATAGCAAACGCTTTCCAGATCACTAGCAGTGTTCCAATATGTCAGGGGCTGCCATAAAGAAGAGGGGGTCAAGCTATTTTCCAAAGTGCCTGGAGGCAGGACAAGAAGCAACGGGTGGAAACTAATCAAGGAGAGAAGCAATCTAGAACTAAGGAGAAACTTCCTGACAGTTAGAACAATTAACCAGTGGAACAACCTGCCTCCAGAAGCGGTGAATGTTCCAACACTGGAAGTTTTTAAGAAGAGACTGGACAGCCATTTGTCCGAAATAGTATAGGGTTTCCTGCCTGAGCAGGGGGTTGGACTAGATGACCTTCAAGGTCCCTTCCAACTTTACTATTATTATTATTATTATTATTATTATTATTATTATTATTATTATTATTATTATTATTATTATTAATAATAATAATAATATGGCAAACTGTTCACTGGTCTCGCTCTGTCCAAGAAGAGAAAGGGAGTCAACTTTTTCTCTTTCTAACCAATCATTTGATGTTTGTTTGTTATTCTAGAATGCCAAAATAAGTATTGAGTAATGAGTATTACCACAGCATGATTTTGCAAAAATATAGCATATGATTATCCGATTACTAATACGGTAAACTGTGTTCTGGGTTCTCTTAGGCCAAGAAGAAAAAGGGAATGAGCTGGTTTGGAAGCATCACTGCTTCAGACAGGAAGGCGGTGCAGAGAGTGGTGAGAATGGCCGAAAAGATCATTGGCAGTCCCTTCCCTCCCATCCAGGACATAGCACAGAAGCGTTGCCTGAGCAGGGTCCGCAAGATTATCTGGGACACGACACATCCTCTTCACGACCTGTTTTCCTTGTCCCCTTCTGGGAGGAGGGGGCTCCGTGGTATCCGCAGCAGAACATCCAGATTCAGCCATAGTTTCATTCCATACAGCATTAACCTTGTGAACTCTCAAGCTTCCTCCTTCCATTATATATTCAAGATGGACAGTATTTAATATTTATTTGTTATGTATATGTAGGGGTGTTGGTCTATACATATATTGTATATAGTATGTTTTTAGGGTGTGTCATGTATGTGTTTCACTTTGAGAGCGGGCAACTAAATTTCATTTTTGATGTGTGCCATTGTGCCCACAGTAAAAAATGACAATAAAAGTTATTTTATCTTTTTCTCTATGCAATTGAATCATTTCTCTGAGAATGTACATGTGTTGCTTGGAAGGCAGTCATGATTAACATTCTCTGCTCATAAACTGTTTATTTCTCGCATTTTTGTTCCCCTCTGTGTAAACAACAACAACAATAATAATAAAAATAAAATAATAAATAATAAATAATAAAAAAACGAAAATAACATTAAGAGTCTGGATGAGGAAGATTACTACAAATACTTGGGTATCATTCAAGCTGACAACATCAAGCACACTGAAGTCAAGAAAAAGATTAGAGATGAATATATCAAGAAAGTGAAGATCTTAAAGTCCAAACTCAATGGAGGAAATACCGTGAAGAAAATAAACATCTGGGCAATTCCAGTCATTAGATACACAGCTGGAATAGTGGACTGGACTCAAGCAGAACTAAAAGCAATGGATAGGAAGACCAGAAAAATAATGACAATGAACGATGCCCTTCATCCACGCAGTGACATTGACAGACTCTACCTACCAAGGCAAATAGGTGGGCGTGGAATGCTGCAAATACATCAGATGGTTGAAGAAGAAAAAATGGCTTTGGAAGAATATCCACTGTTTCTTCAGCTTCTTTGCATAGGCGGCACTTACTGTCTGTTGCTGTCTTCTCAATTTTGGCTTTGTATGCATTTGTCTTTAAGGCTTGGTCTTGTGCAGCCAGAATTAGTCCCTCGGTCTCTTTCTTCAATTTTCCTGCTCTTAGCCATTGCCAGGTCTTGTTATTATCTGCTTTCCCAGGTATTTTTTTTAATGTACTGGCCATGTAGTGCTTTGTCTTCCCATGCCTCTATTCTGTTCTTCATTTGGTCTTTCTTGTAGGCCAGTTTGGTCTCTCCAGTAGTCAGTAAGCCTTCCTGATATACTAATTTCAGTGCATCTTCATCATTGTCCTTCAGATATTCTTCCAAAGCCATTTCTTCTTTTTCAACCATCTGATGTACTTGCAGCATTCCACGCTCACCTATTTGCCTTGGTAGGTAGAGTCTGTCAATGTCACTGCATGGATGAAGGGCATGATTCATTGTCGTTATTTTTCTGGTCACAAGGAGCCATGATTCTTAAGCTCAACACAAAGACAAAGGAATTCTGGCCAGACCTTCAAGGCCCCTCATCTGCATCATGGAAAGTTACCCTCAACAAGACGTATTCTTGTTGCAGTGCATCTGCATCATTTTTCTTCAGATATTCTTGGATATGTATAAGCAAAAAATATATTGATAAATGTTTTAACTAAGTTTGTTACAATTAGAAATCTACTAGCCTAAATGTGATATAGCAAATGTTAAGGGAAATAGAGAAGGAATTTCTGATGATGTAACCTGAGATATGTACTAAAGATTTTGTTATTGAACCACTGATTACCCAGCCACCACACTGCATTTCGAATACTTAATGTAAAACTGAAAAACCAATAAAATTTGTTTTAAAAAATAGAGAAAGTCATAGAAAATGATAAAATTAAACTGCTCTGGGACTTCAGAATTCAAACAGACAAGCACCTGCAACATAACACCCTGGACTTAACAATTGTCAACAAGAAGGACAAAAAAGTCTGGATAGTGGACGTGGCAGTGCCTGGAGACAGCAGAATAGACGAGAAAGAACTAGAGAAAATAACAAAATACAAAGACCTACAAATAGAAATAGAAAAACTGTGGCAAAAGCAAGCAAGGGTAGTACCAATAGTAATAGGTATCTTGGGTGCAATCCCAAAACAACTGGAGCACCACTTGAACACCATAGGCATTGACAAATTCACCATCAGTCAATTGCAAAAGGTGGCTATCATCCTGCAGTGGATAGACAATGGCTAAAACGATAATAAATCACCAATATTTACCAAGCAAGTTTGAAGTCTCTGTACAGACAAACCTGTTCTATTGCTTCCTTCTCCAAACAGCTACATTTTACCAACAAAGAGGAAAAATAACAG